TCTCACAGACGAGGAATACACTCCATCAAATTAACGTAAATCCAGAGTGTTCGAAGTGTGACGTAATGTGGGGCTTAGGCTGTCGCGATAGTCAATAATAGTCATTAATTAGCACCGATGAATAAAATTTGCTCCAATAACTTTTCTGGCGCGAAAAATCATTTGCATCTGTTTGTTTTCCCGTCTCTCTTCGCCCCTCGCTCTCGCGGTCCAGAAGAACCGTCCCATAAGTGGTCACGGGAAACATTAGCGGTCTAGCAAGCAGATCGGAATTTACTCAAAAAATACAAAATACAGCCAAAACAGGACCTAACCAGGACTTAACGCAGATTGACTATGGGGGACACAGTTAGTTGTGAAAATATCCCGGGCTGCAGAGTTCTCATTCAGGGAGCTTAGTGACTTATACTAGAGCAGCTCGCTTTTAGCGTTGTCTTGCCGATGGGACGTAACGTCCCGTACCAATAAATTTATAAAAACTTATGGCGCACCTGCGTGATCACGTACAGCGTTATATAAGGTCTCTAGGAAGGTACTTGAACACCAGATGCTGCCGGACTTGCCATTCTTGTGAGTAGAACTTTACACAAAACCCGCTAGACATTAGCAGGTAGCATCAAAGCCAGCCCCGCTACTTCCGGTGGGCGTACCGCAGCAGGACTTTCTGTTACGCCCCATTGGTGACCCACTGTCAGTCACTTGTCCATTCGCCTGGTGTGTGGGGGGGTGGGAAAACTGGCGTAGCCCACAGAGTGCGCTGAGGAGCCGCAAGAGAAGTTTACCTGGTAGGCACTACGCAAGAGAGCTGCGGTAGGCATCGCAAGAGAGGAAAGCGGTAGGCACAACAGCAGAAGAGAATGCGGTAGGCCACTAGCAGATAGAAAGCCGGTAGCATACGGCAGAGAGGAAAGCGGTAGGCACTAGCAGAGAGATAAAGCAAGTTGCGAGTGCGGACCGAAACGAAGGAATAGGTTTCCAGCCAAACGCGACAGCTGCAGTGTGGGAGCATTTCGGATTTAAACCGATTGCCGTGGTGAACCATGAAAATGAGCGAGTCGGTGTGTCGCATATGTTGGAAAACAGTACGGAAGTTTAAAGCGGGCAACACAACCAAACTTAAATATGCATCTACAAACACAAACAGTTTATTGTGTTCTTCCGTTATAATTTCGTAAAAATAAAAGTTTATTATCTCTGTTGAGAAACTGGATCGTACCTGCATAATATTGTATTCGATTGATCTCCAGACGGGGACAGATATAATCGCTTATCCGCGCAAGAATTTTGAGACAATAATGTCCAGCAAAATTTGTTATCGTGACAGGCTAGAGGGGATGCTTTCAGATGAGCACTGCTGCCACGTCAGCACACAGGGAAACACATGTTTCAGAAGGTCACGTGACTCAAGCAAAAAGGTGAAAACGATCTTGTTGAAAAAGTCCTGCACGTTTAGAAATTAAATCATGGATATACACTGCTGATATGTATACAGTGTGTAGTCATGGGATCAAGCAGGCCAGAGAGGTATCCCCTGATGTGTTTACTTTAAAACCTTTGGAGCGATGAACCACAAATACCCAAACACCGTTTAGTTATATTAGGCTGAGGTAAACAATATAAACCAACATTTGTTTATAAAATGTTATGATTATACAGCAAAAGTCAAAGAAGGTTGAAACTAACATTTCTCATTTATTTGGCAACTAGTAAATTATTCAAATGTAATTGAATTTTCATTAGCTGTTTTAAGACGGACTCCATACCCTGGAGTTTTTGGTAATAAAAACCAAAAAGAAAATTGTCTTTAGCAATCGTTTCCCAAGGCTCCAACAGATGCATTATCTGAGTCAAAATCAATCAAGTCGTTCACAGACCTTAAGTGCAATGACCATAATCATGTAGCTAAAATTAATCGTATCTGAATGAACATTCAGGTTTTTTTTATGATAAAAGTTTTTATGTTTCTAGTGAAGAATAACTTAGTGTTAATTATGCCACAGCGAAATTCAAAAAAATCGCTGTCATTAAAACAGAACATATTTGCACTACCCAGGAATAGCTATGAACTCTGTAAAAATGAAACTTCTTATGCTGTGAGGCCGAGATGCTAACCATCCTTACTCCAATGTAACTATTTATTAGTGGTATAACTTGCCACAGTTAGCCTGCATGAACCATTCCATACTGTTATATTGGTATTGCGGGCCGGCGTCCATAAATGAAGTAGTTGCCGTAAGACCTGTTTTGCTGGTAATAAAGCGGCTATACCTGTACATAAATAGTTCATCCTCAAAGTGGCTGTGACTTAAAAAGGCCCGTCTGCCGCTTAAAACCATTTCTTCTATTGAGCTCCGCTGTCTGCATCTTAAGCTCATTCATGCGCTGCTACATTCAAGGGCTTTACACTGGTATGAGTCGCTGCATTCTCAACAGCCACTTTTCCATCTGCAACAAAGCGAAGCTTGTCTCCATCAAAAGCACTATGTCCCTGTGATAACCTGTGTTCTCAGAGTCCGCCCCGGCCGTTCCGCCACTTTTACGGAGGGACTGAATATTAATTGGTGGTAATGTTCTTTTGGAGTGTTTTGGCTCCATATTGGTATGATTGTTTTTCCTGCCACTTTTCTTCATGCTTACATTTCTTAACTACTTAACTTCAATATTGAGTTATATCCATGTTCATAATGTACAGAATTCAAAGGCGCTTACTATATTCGTACCCGACACATGGAGTGTGCGCAAGGCTGGCAAACCGTCCGAATATCAAAGATTCAACGTCAATACAGTGGGAAGTGGTTAGGGGGCTGTGGTCAGAGAGAGAGAGCCAAGCCACAGCCCAAACAGCAGAGCCACTAGTCTTTTCCCACCTCGGCTCACGGTGCATCGAAGGAAAATTGTGAAATGAAAACTAAAATGTATGATCAATCAGTACTTCGTCATCAATGTTCTTAATTGGAATAAGTAACGCGTAAGACATATATGCAGAATATTTTTCCCTTTAAATCCCCAAGTGTGTTTAATCCCAATGAGACTGTACAAATTATTGGCCGTAGTGACGCGTATTTATCTCTGTGAAATGTAATTAGAACTGGCAGGAAATGACGCATTGGCGGCATTTTGTTAGCCGGTCATTAGCCCATAAGATAACATTCATAGTCCACAGCTTCTTAAACCAAGGCTGGTCCGAAAAAAAAAAACTCCCCTTAGCGTAACCGTAGCATCGGTGTGTGTCGCGATGTGGAAGGTACCGTTTAATAATAAATTAATATAGAATCCAGAATCGAAACGACTTCCAGAAAAACAGAATACGAATCCTACCTCCATCCTCCGTCCGTAATGCATTCTCGCAAAAGTTTTGTAGACCAGCCGGCCGATGTTGTGTACTGTTAGGGTCCTTACCCCATGATGACAAATCGGTCATTGCCAATGTTGGAACATGTAGATCAAATAGAATCCCCTTCTTTGGACCTGAACGTACTGCCAAAACAACACTTTTTCTGCTCTCGTGTTTCTAGTTTCTCACGTTCACACTCAAACAGCCTGAGTACTTTATTCGTGGAAAAAACATTTTAGTAGCCGCCCAGCTAAGAACCCAGATGCGTTCAATTGCATAAGGAAATGAGGCTAACACTAAACATTTTAATTCTTGATTAGATTCACTGTCCTTTACTTGAATACCTCATATTACATACTGTTATGTGTATCCCTGTGTTGATTATGAAATAATTATTCTGATAAAACTGGTTAAACAGTCTATGGTTTTCTCATTTCCGTGTGCCTTTGAACGCATCTGGGCCTAAGCTGCCGGCTGTACTAAAAGTATTTTTTTCTCTGATCTTTTTCCGTGGGATTTCATGTAATAAACCTTGATTCAATGAGCCAAATCATATATCACGTCTGTATATAAACACCAACCTGTATAACATGTGTTTTTACCCTTTATGACATGTGCAAAACTGAACTTTGGACGAAATCCGGTATCTGGGACCGAATCCCAGCAGCTCAGCACGCATAGTGTAGGGATCCGGTTCGGTGGGAAAAAAAAAATCAAAGGTTTTTGCCAGAGAGGGTGAGAATGAGAGAGAGAGGGTAGAGTAGCAGCTCCAGCCCAAGACGTGGAGAGCCCTGATCTAAATCAAAGCATAAGATGTAGCGATAGCACAGATTGGTAGAAAAGTCACCTAGCCAGGATTAGTGTGGATGTAGTATCTGGATACTTCTGTAGTACTTTGATACTGTAGTACTGCAGTTCTCAGACTGTCTGTTACTGCATCTGAGTACTCTGTAGTACTTTGATACATGATTACTGCAGTTCTCAGACGTCGTTACTAGCAGTATGTTTGTACCACTATATATGTAGGCTACAATTACAGACTTTCTGCCCGTCGCCACCTCACAAAGCCCCCATGAAGACCAGAGGGACCATGAAGACAAGGACCATGATAGTCCAAGGACCATAGAAGACCAGAGGGACCAAGACAGACCAGGAGGAACCATGAGAGAGCAGAGACCAGAGAAACCCCGTGAGAGACCAATGAGAAAGCACAGAGACCAGAAGGACTATGGATTGACCAACAGACCATCAAGACCAGAGGGACTATGAGAACGGGAGACCAAAGGACCATGAGCAGACCAGAGGGACAGGAGGAGACAGAGACATGGGTGGGAGGGGGGGGGGGGAGGTACCAGATGGACAGCAGAGATAAGAGACCAGAGAGGGACCAGTCAGCGCAGAGATACCATGGGAAGTTTGTATGACGAATACTGGGTAAACCTATGTTAATCTGTTAACAGTATGGTTTGGGTAACACTCTACTATCATATTGAAGGCTACAATGACGACTTTCACCGTGTCACCGTCACCGGTCTCTCACGTCCATCACGCGAGATCAAAGGGGAAAACATTCCCCAGAGCCGCCGTGATGAAGCCTCTGAACCACGGCTCACAATCCGCATGGGTCTGCGATGCGGCGCCGGAGCACCATCCACACCGAGGAGCCCTAGCTGCCCGTGACCACATGGCAGACCACGGGGTTCACGGAGAACAACAAGCCGGCACTAGCACATAATACACGCGTGATACTGACCGCGGACTTCCTGCAAGCTCGTACGCCTTCCCGGGTATTGGGCCAACTGGCGGTGAAGCCTGGACCGTGGCCGGACTGGGGCCGAGCGTCACCCTGCTCCGACATCACGGACCGGGGGGTGGTGGGGTGGTCAGAGAGGCGGTGAGAGCGGCGGTGGAGAGCCCGGGCTGAGCGCTCCTCTCCTCCGCTGCGCTGTTTCAGCTCTCCGCGCCTGCTCCGGAGGACAACCCGGAAAGTAACGGCGCACATCCGCACACTGCACCGTCACTCAGCAGCTTAAAGGACCAGAGACCACAGGACCATGGTGAGAGCAGAGGGACCACAGGGACCAGGTGAGAGCAGAAGGGACCATGAGATACCAGAGGGACCACGGGACCTTGTGAACCATGTGAGGAGCAGAGGGACCAGGAAGACCCACGGAACCACAAGGGGACCATGGGAGAGCTGAGGGACCATAAGAGACCAGGTGGACCCACAGGACCATGGGAGACCATTTGGAGAGCACAGGGACCATGAGAGACGCAGCGGGACCACAAGGGGACCATGTGAGTGCAGAGACCATGAGAGACCAACGGGACTCACAGGGACCATGGGGGAGAGCAGAGGGACCACAGGGCCATGGAGAGCACGAGGGACCATGAAGACCAGGGGAGCCACATGGACAAGTGAGACCAGTAAGCTGAGGGACCTGAAGTCCACGGACCACAGGGCCATGTGAGAGCAGAGGGGACCACAGTGGTGCCATGTGAGAGCAGAGGTACCATACGAGCCAGGGACCACGGAACCATAGAGACCAGCGGACCACAGGACCATGTGAGAGCAAGGGACCACAGGGCCATGTGAGAGCAGAGGGACCATGAAGTCCAGGGGACCACAGGGGACCATGTGAGAGCAAGGGAGCAAGAGATACCAGCGAGAGACCATGTAAAGCAGAGGGACCATGAAGCGACCAGGGGAGACCAAGGGAGACGAGAAGAGATGACCAAGTGAGACCAGAGAGACCATGCGGGTGACCAGGAGAGACCAGATGGAGACCAGAGTGAGACCAGAGCGAGACCAGAGAGAGCCAGAGAGACCATGAGAGACCAGAGTAAGACCAGATGTAGAGACCAGGAAGAGACAAGAGAGACCATGAGAGACCATTGAGACGAGGGGACCATGAGAGACCAAGAGAGTCCATGAGTGAGACCAGATGAGAGACCAGAGAGGGACCATGAGGGACAAGTGGTACCAGAGAGGGACCAGAGAGGACCATGAGAGGACCCGAAGAGGGACCAAAGTGAGAGACCTAGAGGGGACCATGAAGAGACCAAGAGAGGACCCTGAGGGACCATGAGAGAGCAAGAGAGACCAGAGTGACCAGAGAGAGACCAGAAGGCCCAGAGAGACGAGAGAGAGACCAGAGAGACCAGCAGAGAGGACAGAGAGAGACGAGAGATGACCATGAGAGACCCAAGAGAGCACAGAAGAAGACCATAGAGAGTCGCGACCATGAGAGACCAAGAGAGAGACCAGAGAAGAGAGCCCGAGAAGAGGAGAGACCCAACACCAGAGCGAGTGACCTTGAGAGACCACTAGTGGAGACCAGAAGAGCCCATGAGAGACCAGCAGAGAGACCATGAGAGGAGCCGAGACGCCAGAGAACCTTGGATGTACATGAGAGACAAGTGAGACCATAGAGCCCAGATGAGAGACCATGGAAGAGACCAGCGAAGACCATTGAGAGACCAAGAGGGACCCAAGAGAGAGACCAGAGAGAGACCAGAGAAGAGAACCATGAGAGAACCAGAAGGAACCTTGAGAGTACCAAGAGGGACCCTGAGAGGCCAACAGAGACCAAGAGAGGACCAGAGAGAGACCAGAGGGATCAGATGGAGAGACCAGAGAGAGCACCAAATGAGAGACCAGGAGAACTACTGAGAGAGACCAGAGGGACCAAGCCAGAGACCAGAGAGGAGACCAAGAGACCAAGGAGAGACACTATTGGAGCTAATGACGTTAGTATGACCATACTGAGTAAACTAGATGTCGACACACTGAAGAGCACCAATGTTTATATTGCTTAGACCTTTGGTGAAAGATGACTTATGTACGTTAAGTTAATATTGAGATCGAGTATAGAAAGTTAGTATACAGAAGACTAGTAAGTGGAGCTGAGTGACATCAATAGACCATAGAGACCAGAGTATGTTATTCCAAGAGTAGAGTTACAGAGAGTGATTTGCTCAGGTGCAGAACAAGTTATAAGAAAAAAGAGCGACTCAGATAGAGACCAGAGAGAAACATAGTTATCATAGATACCAGCTGATATAGAGTTCACACTAGAGAGAGACCAGAGAGAGACAGGTTTTTTTTTATGATGTACCAGATGAGTTAGACCAGAATGGTAGACCATGGTAGAGACGGGCAGAGATGAGAGACCAGAGAGAGAGAGCAGTGAGAGACGAGACCAGAGGAGAGACCAAGAGAGAGAGACCAGAGAGGACCAGGAAGACCTGCAGAGGGAGATTCCAGAGGAGAGACCCAGAGACCAGAGAGAGACCCAGAGAGACCAAGAGAGACCAGAGAGAGGCCAAGAAGGACCAGAGAGAGACGAAGAGACCAGATAGAGAGACCAGAAGAGAGAGCAGGGAGAGACCGAGAAGAGGAGAGACCAGAGAGGAGAGAGAGAGAGACCAGAGAGAGACCAGACGAGAGACCGAGAGAGACCATGAGTAGAGAGAGACCCAAGGAGGAGAGACCAAGAGAGACAGAGAGAGACCAAAAGGAGACCAGAGAGAGACCAGAGAGAGAGACCAGAGAGGCAAGAGAGGAAGACCAGAGAGACCAGAGTGAGACCAGAGAGAGACATAAAGAGATCCTAGAGAGGCCAGAGAGCACCAAGAGGACCAAGAGCACCAGAGTAGAGAGACCAAGAGAGGAATGACCAGAGAGGAGAGACCAGAGAGAAGACCAGAGAGGGAGAGACCAGAGAGGGAGAGACCAGAGAGGAGAGGACCAGAGAGGGAGAGACCAGAAGTGGAAGACCAGAGATGGAGAGAGGAATACCAAGAGGAGAGACCAGAGGAGGGAGAGAGAGAGACCAGAGAGGAGAGAACCAGAGAGGAGAGACCAGAGAGGAGAGACCAGAGGCGGGAGAGACCAGAGATGAGAGACCAGAGAGAGAGACCAGAGAGGAGAGAGGAGAGCCAGAGAGGGATACCAGAGGGGTAGAGACCATAAGGGAGAGAACCAGAGAGAAGACCGGAGAGGAGAGACCAAGAGGGAGAGACCAGAGAGGAGAGACCAGAGAGGAGAGACCAGAGGAAGAGACCAAGAGAAAGACAGAGAGAAGAAGACCAGAGAGAGACCAAGAGACATGACCAGAGAGGAGAAGACCGACAGAGAGCAGAGAGGAAAAGCCAAGAAAAGAGAGGAAGATCAAGATCTACTGTTCTGTAACTTGGGATGCAACACTGAAATTTCCCCACTGTGGGACGAATAAAGGATCTCTTAATCTCAACTGTCTCCAATATAGATTTCCCCAGGTCGTTGGAGGGTAGTTGTAGAGGAGGCTAGTACCATTGCAATAATAATAATTTAAATAAAAAGTGTGGTCGAAAAGTATACTGTATTTCCTGTTTGTTTTAGTTTTTGATAAACTTTGTTGAGACACGAAGGCAGGAACACAAGGAACATGCACGTACACACATTGGCCAGAAGGTGGAGACATTGTATTAGAGAAAATTCAGTCAAATTGAAAATAATTAAAAATTCAAACAAAAATAAATAATATAAGAGTTCTGTATAAAAAATAAATAAACCTATTATAGTTACTTATTAAAGCACAGACCTTTGAATAGACTAATACGATATATAACTATTAATAGTGTTATGTGGTATAGTATATATCTGCAGACGCGGAGCTGCACTCTGAAGGCCTGCACCGAGGGAGCCGCGCTCACACGACCCTTCTCTTACTTAAATCCTTTGTTGCGGTTAGCCGTGCTTCTAAATTCACACATTCACTGTGGTTAGCCATCCTTCTAAGTCGATCCCCTAATTGTGGTTTGTCGCACGATTATAAGTTCATTATTTCATTACATTTAGAAGCATGGCTAACCACAACAAATTGACAAACTTAGAAGCACGGCTAACTACAATAAAGTTAGTAAGTTAATACATGCGCTTTGGTTAGCCATGCTTCTAAGGTAATTAAACATTGTGTTGGCCTTGCTTCTAAGTAAACTAATTTGTTGTGGTTTGCCATGCTTCAAGGTTAATGTAGTCATTGTGTTAGCCGTGCATCTAAGTTAATTCAGTATTGTGGTTAGTCGTGCTTCTAACGTAACTCTTTAATTCCGTCAGTCGTTCATAAACACGTGTTAGAAGTTAGGTACAGGAGCTTTAAAAACTCTGTTGACATTGGGCCTCGCGAGCGCGGTCCTCTCAGCGCAGCTCCGCCTCCCTGAGTGACAGCCGCGAGAGCCAATCAGACGCCCGTACGCACACAGCAGAGGCGGGCCGCTCTCATCCCCATCTCCTCGGCCCAACACGCTCTCAGTCAGACCCATCCTCCAGCTCCTCTTGTCCGCCTGCTGCCCCCGCGTCGGCCGCCTCGCACTCACAGCCATGTCCGGGATCCTGGCCTGGTTCTGGAACGAGCGCTTCTGGCTGCCCCACAACGTCACCTGGGCGGACCTGAAGAACACGGAGGAGGCCACGTTCCCACAAGCGGAGGACCTGTACCTGGCGTGTCCCGTGGCGTTTTGCATCTTTATGGTCCGGCTCGTCTTTGAGAGGTGCGTGAGTTCTAAAGAATCCATATTATTGTTTGGCTCTGTCCAGGTTTTTGTGGTGATTTTGGTGAGTTGCGTGGCACATGGGGCTATCCCGTGCGTGGTGGGCTGCTCCCCCAAACAATAGCATCTTATCTGGTTACCCCCCACCATCATCCTCTGCAGCAGGCCCGCAGCAGCAGCAGCAGCAGCAGCAGCAGTACTCACACCGGTCCTCAATCCCGTAGACAGACCGCGTTGGGGGCATGGTCCTCACGCAGCACGGACCTCAATGTGAAAACAATACATTGCTACGGTTCGTTTTAGATGTATGCAGCTAAACTCTAGAACAGTCTTCCCGGAAATGTGAGACAGGCTTCTTTGACAATGTTTTCAAATCTAATCCAATCAATCCATTCAATTTGTATTCATAGAGACTCACGGCGACCAAATTGTTTTACAATAAAATCACATAAAAATCCATTTAAAACATTCGAATCCAGGTAAAAAAGAAAAAAAACTTATCTGCGCTACAACTGAATGATTGTGTCTTTACTCGTTAATGTGCGGCGATTATTTATGATTTTACGATCTTGTCTTAAGCACTTTGAGTTGCCTTGTGTGGACTGTGCTATACAATTAAACTTGCCTTCATTAGTAGTTATAATAATAATAATAATAATAGCGCTTTTCTGGACTCTCAAAGATGCTTCACATGTCATTTATTCTTTCACTCCATACACGGTGATGATAAACTACTACCATAGCCACACCTGCCCTGGGGCACACTGACAGAAGCGAGGCAACCAGTCTGTGCCATCAGCCCCTCCCACCACCACCAACCATTCACACACACCAGACTCATTTTAATGTGGGTGAAGTGTCTGGCCTAAGTACACAACCACACTTTGGCACTTTACAGCCGCAGCCGCCCCATGCACTGTGACACATGGCGGTCCCAGAGGTCTCCCATCACAGTACTAACCAGGCCCTGCCCTGCACAGCTCACATGAAAGTTTATAAGATGACGGGCATAAAATGGAATGATAATAACATTCCATAACTCCTGTAGTTCCTTGCTCCCAAAACAGTTGCTTCTATCACTAACTTTCTCGTGCTTGTATTTTTTGGCCTCAGTCAAACCTTTTGCCAATCTCGGCCAATCAGCTCGCAGCCCAAATAGTCATATACTGACTCTCTGGGCTCTTTCTTACAGCTATCGAAAAAATATGTTTTCTAATAAGATGAAGCATGTTGTGGTCTGATTTGATGCATTTTTGTTAAACGACAAAGTGTAATTTATGAAGACAAAAAATGAAGTACCTCAGCTTTAATTGGAAAAAGGGGAAAAACTGAATTTGCGTGAAATGTTACGATATTTGCATTAATATACAAAAAACACTTGTGTAGTAGTAATTTTAAGGAATTTTATTAAGATGTTTTACGTGTTTTTTGTTATGCCTTTACCTATTCTCACTCTTTGCATCTTGAGCCAAAGCAAATTCCTGGTTAGTGACTTCCTGTTTATTTAAACGGCAAAAAATGTGATTCTAATTCTCTAATTCTAATGGATGTCCTAGCACAGACTGTATACAGATGGACGGTGCTAACCCGCTAGCTCGGTGAAGCCCGATAGGGAAGTGCTCATAGACAAAGAGCTCCAACTTGCTCCGGCTCCTATTGACTTCCATGTCAAAGTAATCATCTCATCTCGCTCATCTCGCTCAGTGACCGCTTTGAGGCTGAAATAATCTGTATTTTATCGCTCTCTGTGATCCTGGATCGGAATTTTCATAAAACATAAGATTTTGGGGGAAACTCCAGCTTGCGTACCTACTGTTTTACTTTTTATATATACATTTTTTAACCATATGAAGCTGGCAAACCTGTACAATTAAATGTGTTATTTTTATCTCTGTGCAGCACTTGTTTGATAAATTGTGCTTAATAAATAATGTGGATTGGATTGAATTAACAACACCGCTAACGACGTCAGAGAGAAACCCATATCTAATAATAAACAAGGAAATAGGCTCCAGCTAGCTTATGTTGATTAACACTACGACTCCTACACATGTGAAACTAGAACTCCAAGAGCCGTCGTTTTGACTGCTCCCATTCAAACCTATGGAATTCTGGGAAATTCCCAAAAATGTTTACATTTTTGACCATATTTTTGTATTTTACCTTTACTCACTTTTACAAAATGGTAAAACAACACAAGCAGACATCATAGAGTCACAACAAGCAGACGCCATAGAGTCACAACAAGAAGACGACTTCATAGAGTCACAACAAGCAGACGTCATAGAGTCACAACAAGCAGACGTCATAGAGTCAGAGCAAGCAGACGTCATAGAGTCAGAACAAGCAGACGTCATAGAGTCAGAACAAGCAGACGTCATAGAGTCACAACAAGCAGACATCATAGAGTCACAACAAGCAGACGTCATAGAGTCACAACAAGCAGACGTCATAGAGTCACAACAAGCAGACGTCATAGAGTCACAACAAGCAGACGTCATAGAGTCACAACAAGCAGACGTCATAGAGTCACAACAAGCAGACGTCATAGAGTCACAACAGCAGACGTCATAGAGTCACAACAAGCAGACGTCATAGAGTCACAACAAGCAGACGTCAGAGTCACAACAAGCAGACGTCATAGAGTCACAACAAGCAGACATCATAGAGTCACAACAAGCAGACGTCATAGAGTCGCAACAAGCAGACGTCATAAAGTCACAACAAGCAGACGTCATGGAGTCACAACAAGCAGACATCATAGAGTCACAACAGCAGACGTCATAGAGTCACAACAAGCAGACGTCATAGAGTAACAACAAGCAGACATCATAGAGTCACAACAGCAGACGTCATAGAGTCACAACATGCAGACGTCAGAGTCACAACAAGCAGACGTCATAGAGTCACAACAAGCAGACGTCATAGAGTCACAACAAGCAGACGTCATAGAGTCACAACAAGCAGACGTCATAGAGTCACAACAGCAGACGTCATAGAGTCACAACAAGCAGACGTCATAGAGTCACAACAAGCAGACGTCATAGAGTCACAACAAGCAGACGTCATAGAGTCACAACAAGCAGACGTCATAGAGTCACAACAAGCAGACGTCATAGAGTCACAACAAGCAGACGTCATAGAGTCACAACAAGCAAACGTCATAGAGTCACAACAGCAGACGTCATAGAGTCACAACAAGCAAACGTCATAGAGTCACAACAAGCAGACGTCATAGAGTCACAACAAGCAGACGTCATAGAGTCACAACAGCAGACGTCATAGAGTCACAACAAGCAGACATCATAGAGTCACAACAAGCAGACGTCATAGAGTCACAACAAGCAGACGTCATAGAGTCACAACAAGCAGACATCATAGAGTCACAACAGCAGACGTCATAGAGTCACAACAAGCAGACGTCATAGAGTCACAACAAGCAGACGTCATAGAGTCACAACAAGCAGACGTCATAGAGTCACAACAAGCAGACGTCATAGAGTCACAACAAGCAGACGTCATAGAGTCACAACAAGCAGACATCATAGAGTCACAACAAGCAAACATCATAGAGTCACAACAAGCAGACGTCATAGTCACAACAAGCAGACATCATAGAGTCACAACAAGCAGACGTCATAGAGTCACAACAAGCAGACGTCATAGAGTCACAACAAGCAGACGTCAGAGTCGCAACAAGCAGACGTCATAGTCGCAACAAGCAGACGTCATAGTCGCAACAAGCAGACGTCATAGTCGCAACAAGCAGACGTCATAGAGTCACAACAAGAAGACGTCAGAGTCGCAACAAGCAGACGTCACAGAGTCGCAACAAGCAGACGTCATAGAGTCGCAACAAGCAGACGTCATAGAGTCACAACAAGCAGACGTCATAGAGTCACAACAAGCAGACGTCATAGAGTCACAACAAGCAGACGTCATAGAGTCACAACAAGCAGACGTCATAGAGTCACAACAAGCAGACGTCATAGAGTCACAACAGCAGACGTCATAGAGTCACAACAAGCAGACGTCATAGAGTCACAACAAGCAGACGTCATAGTCACAACAAGCAGACGTCATAGAGTCACAACAAGCAGACGTCATAGTCACAACAAGCAGACGTCATAGAGTCACAACAAGCAGACGTCAGAGTCGCAACAAGCAGACGTCACAGAGTCACAACAAGCAGACGTCATAGAGTCACAACAAGCAGACGTCACAGAGTCACAACAAGCAGACGTCATAGAGTCACAACAAGCAGACGTCATAGAGTCACAACAAGCAGACATCATAGCGTCACAACAAGCAGACGTCATAGAGTCACAACAAGCAGACGTCATAGAGTCACAACAAGCAGACGTCAGAGTCGCAACAAGCAGACGTCATAGTCGCAACAAGCAGACGTCATAGTCACAACAAGCAGACGTCATAGAGTCACAACAAGCAGACGTCATAGTCACAACAAGCAGACGTCATAGAGTCACAACAAGCAGACGTCATAGTCACAACAAGCAGACGTCATAGAGTCACAACAAGCAGACGTCAGAGTCGCAACAAGCAGACGTCACAGTCACAACAAGCAGACGTCATAGAGTCACAACAAGCAGACGTCACAGAGTCACAACAAGCAGACGTCATAGAGTCACAACAAGCAGACGTCATAGAGTCACAACAAGCAGACGTCATAGAGTCACAACAAGCAGACGTCATAGTCACAACAAGCAGACGTCATAGAGTCACAACAAGCAGACGTCATAGAGTCACAACAAGCAGACGTCATAGAGTCACAACAAGCAGACGTCATAGAGTCACAACAAGCAGACGTCATAGAGTCACAACAAGCAGACATCATAGAGTCACAACAAGCAGACGTCATAGAGTCACAACAAGCAGACGTCATAGAGTCACAACAAGCAGACATCATAGAGTCACAACAAGCAAACATCATAGAGTCACAACAAGCAGACGTCATAGTCACAACAAGCAGACATCATAGAGTCACAACAAGCAGACGTCATAGAGTCACAACAAGCAGACATCATAGAGTCACAACAAGCAGACGTCATAGAGTCACAACAAGCAGACGTCATAGAGTCGCAACAAGCAGACGTCATAGTCACAACAAGCAGACGTCATAGAGTCACAACAAGCAGACGTCAGAGTCGCAACAAGCAGACGTCACAGAGTCGCAACAAGCAGACGTCATAGAGTCACAACAAGCAGACGTCACAGAGTCACAACAAGCAGACGTCACAGAGTCACAACAAGCAGACGTCATAGAGTCACAACATGCAGACGTCATAGAGTCACAACAAGCAGACGTCATAGTCGCAACAAGCAGACGTCATAGTCACAACAAGCAGACGTCATAGAGTCACAACAAGCAGACGTCATAGAGTCACAACAAGCAGACGTCATAGAGTCACAACAAGCAGACGTCATAGAGTCACAACAAGCAGACGTCCTAGAGTCACAACAAGCAGACATCATAGAGTCACAACAACCTCCGATGTAAACAGAGGAAACGCAGAGAAAACACTAGAGTCAAACAGATAATTATTTAATTCAATATTACAATACTTTTTTCCATTGTATTGATTTAAAGTTGTGCAAAATATATTGCGATACTGAACAGATGTTTTCCCACCACTGGTCAGGACCAAGCCCCGGTGATCCAAGATGGCCCCTTTCAAATCCATGGCTTGTGCTCAGTAGTGCATGTGCCACCACGGGGAAAGAAAGATTAGCAGAACCCGCCTATATTTGGGCATCGTCTGGTCCTCCTGGTTCTGTGCAGTGGACGGCATCCCATGATGCTTTGCGCCAAATACTCGTGTGTGGCTCTCATGCATGTGCACAGAGGGACTCGGCCACGCTCTGACCAATCAGAGCTGCTGATCAGAGCGGGAGACGAACGAGCAGAGTTTGTGGTACTAAGGTGTGGATTTATAGACAACCAATGGATTTAAGAAGAAAAAAAAAAGTTCAGGATGAGAAGGGACACTATAATCCCCATAAAATCCGACCTTTATGAAAGCTGTAGGTCTTCTGTCAGGTTCTCTGTCAGCTGAGGTCGAGCTTTTTTAATTTACATTGAGATCTATGGGAATTTTTTCTGGGTAGCCCGCGTGAATTTAGTCTGCAGTACCACGGGCGCCCCCTGTGCTCATGGGTGGAACAGCTACAGTATAAGCTAGTAATACCCTATCCAGTTATTATTATAGATCCATGGTCAGGACCCGCTGGGACACTCTCCAACATTGCGAGGCCTGTAAACACAACTGTAGGGATCTGATCATCTGTCCCGTGTGAAGAGAGCAGTTAGAAAGATGCTGAGATGGTTCTTCTCATGTGTCGAAGATGAAAAACCTGGAGCTCGTTCTGTCCCAGAGCAGATATTTAGAAGTGAAATACCGATTAAGAGGCTTATTGTACGCTGAGGGCAAATCACAAAGACTGCAATTATTTCAGTTATTTGCAAACACAAAGAGATTAAAAATAAGAAAAACTCTCTAGAATCTAAAGGTTGGATGTACTGTATGTCATCAAAGCTATAATGTCTACACTGCAAAAAAATGACATAATATGAGGTAATAATAGCTTGAAAGGAGTGGTTTTTATCTTAATCTGATACATTCTGACTTAAAACAAGATTCTCTAATGGGACAAAGCATTATTCCATGAACTTATTTTCTAATTCCAAAGCAGACTTGTATATTTTTTTAATTCAGATAGTTTTGCTTTGTCCCATTGGCAAATGTTGTTTTAATCTTGTTTGTTGTCTGGTTTTAAGGTCAGAATGTGCTCAAATTCAGAAAATGTTGGTCAAATTTGAATAACACATTGCTACCATATCACTTCTATATGATGAGGGCAGAGATTGATGGACAATGCTAACCCACTTGTCATTGTGTGGACTTTTTGACGATTTTTAAAGCTTCATTGTGATGTTTTTGTTCTTCTGTCTTTTTTGAGTTTACTTCCTGTCTGTGCTGTTTCTCCTGTCTCTCTCTCTCCCTGTGTGCATTTAAACCATTGTGTTTTTGTCCTTGTTCCGTCGGGGTTTGAGTTTTGTTCATTAAATCTTGTCATTTTCATTTTGGCATTTCTGCTGGGGAAAGTTTTGCTCCGACTTACTCTAGTTCCTGTTGACTTACATTGAAAAGTAGGTTCAGCGTGGATTAGCTCGGGAGATTGCTTTGGAATTGTCTCTGACCTTGTGAAGTGTAATTACTTTTTATGACTTGTTGATTCATTTTCACCTATTTTCCCAGGTTTATTGCCAGACCATGTGCGATGGGGCTGAAGATCCAAGCCAACGGGCCTCAGAAAGCCCAGCCCAATGCCATTCTGGAGAAGGTCTTCACTGCCATCACCAAGGTCTGTCCACACGCCACGTAAAGCTGGGGTACCCTACTTTCAAATCATAAAAAACAGAACTGCGTTCTAGATACAGTAGATATATTTATATATTTTTGGGGACGACCACTAAACTAAACTAAACTGAAATAGAAGTCGTTTGTTGTGACTAAATTAGAATATTGTTGAAAAGTTATATTATTTAATTCTAAAATGAGAAATTATTTATAGATTCATTACATGCAAAGTGACAAATGTCAAGCCTTTGTAATCATTTTGATGATTATGGCCACAGTCCATTTTCAAAACCCTAACCCTAATTTTCTGTAAATTATAGTATTTAACAGTAAATAACAACAATAACAGTAAATTAACAACAAATAAAGGTTCGATTATCTAACGTTGTCTGTATTTAATCTGCCACAGACTGTCTTAGTTTCACATTGTACCCACAGACTGTATACAGATGGACGATGCTAACGCGCTAGATCAATGACGCCAAATAGGGAAGTGTTTTGCTCCAACTCGCTCTGGCTTCCTCAAACTCAGTAACTGTTTATGTCACACTCAAAATTTGGGGCTTAAAAAAAAACTGTGGTTTGATTTTCTATTATGATAAAGTTAGAGATTTACTTTCTTCTTTAACACATTAAAGCTCCCACTGTGGGACCAATAAAAGATATTTTAATCTAATGATATTAATCTTGTAGTGTTTTATATTTTGATAAAGATTGACCTTTCACATGTCTTCATTCGCGGGGCAGACTCCAGCTTCGCTTAGCAACCACGTTAGCAACCACGTTAGCAACCATGTTAGCAACCACGTTAGCAACCACGTTAGCAACTACGTCAGCAACTACGTCTGCCCATGTTAGAGAATTAGATAGATACTTTATTGATCCCTGTAGGAGAAATACAGGTGCCCAGTAGCAGCAGAAACACATCCATCCACACAAACAACACAACTAATTAATACAAATATCTAATAACAAATGAATTAAAAATATCTAACAATAGTATTAAAAAGCAACTGCCCTTCAGGTCACAGCAGTAGAGGTGGAGCCGCTTGGTTCAGACCATTTTCTCTGCTCTGGTCCAAAGTAAAATGCTGAATGCTTTGTTAGCATTTTTCAAAAAGTTCCTCCAGTGGATTTTCACCTGATCCACTTGGTTCGGACCATGAATCCTTTCTGCTCCGGTCTGGACCAGTGCAAAACTAAATGCACTGTACTGCGTCAACATCTCAGAAAAATAACAAGAAAGAAAGAAAGTTACAGCCCAAAGCTAACCCTTGTTGGTACAAATGTCCATATAACAAAGTTGGCTCCAGCTATCTTAACTTCAAATGTGTTCCTAATCTAGTCCAGGATCAGAAAGTTCAGAAGTAAATGGACTTTTGAAGGATATTGTGTGTTTGTCAGCACCCTGATGAGAAGCGGCTGGAGGGTCTGTCCAAGCAGCTGGACTGGGACGTGCGGACCATCCAGCGCTGGTTCCGGCAGCGGCGTAACCAAGAGAAGCCCAGCACTCTGACCCGGTTCTGTGAAAGCATGTGAGTACAGTACACGTCAACCTGGCACCCTGGAGCTGCTCATTTGGCTGCATTCAAAACCCCTTCACAGTCGGTTTCACTGCAGTCGCTCCAACGCTATGAAAATGAGCTCACCAACAAAACACATTCATCAATACTTCAAGTTCTACCACTAGCTTTTGGTTTTCACAGAAAAGTGAATCAGAGACGACCACCCTCACTCAGCCAATCAGCTCTGAGCCCAAAGAGTCTAATACTCACAGAACTCTTTCTTACAAACCTCTGATTTTTTCTTTGTTCTTTCTGTTAGGACAAAGATTATGCATTACATCAGTGCTGCCTCTGCATTAGTTTAAAGATCTGTCTAGTCGATGATGGTATCTCCAACGCCATCTCCAAATGTCGATGCTCCTGATCAGGACCAGAGCTGAAGGATTTAACCCAGGGGTGTCCAAACTTTTTAGTAAGAGGGCCACTTTAGTTCACCAAACTAGTCCAGGGGCCGACATCACGGACTGAAAAACTGTCTTGACTGGCATCGGGCTGTTCTGAGCTTTATAATGATTTATAACAGAGCTGAAGTTGGCTGGATGACAAATGTTTACCATCTCACTGGCTACATTAACATCCTTAACAATGTGCAAATCAAGTCAACGACGTACTGGGCTTTTTAACAAGGTCTATATTAGCTGAGCTTAAGTTGGATGGATGACAGGGTGAATTTGTGTTTATGACCTTAAAGACTACTTTGGGGTAGCAAGGCAGAGGGCCACATAAAATTACACAGAGGGCCGCATTTGGCCCCCGGGCCTGATTTAACCCATTGTACATTTGTTTAGTGGTAGAAAAAACCCTCAGACACGAGGAGAACATGCAAACTCCACTCAGAAAGGCCCTATTTTTCTGACGTGCAAGACCTTCTGTTGAGAATCCCCCTACATTTGCTTTTAACATACTTTGAATTTTAATGAAATGTATTTATTCATTTTCACATCACCACAGATTCCAGACACGCTACACTTGTTTGTGCATATCTTTGTACAACAGGGCAACAGTCTGGTCTAGTGGATAAAATCTTAACCCAGACTCTACATCAGGGGTCTCCAACCTGTAGCTCAGGAGCTACCAGTAGCTCGCCACCCCCTTCCAGGTAGCTCGCCAAAGGATTTAGAAATGAACAAATTAATATACTTAATATCTCAGATTTTATATTCATTATTATTATTTATTATTGTAAATGCACTCACTTTGTCACTAGTAACAAATATGCAACGATATATAATGACTGTAACCAGTATCAGGCTCGTTCACACAAATATGTCACCACATTTTTTCCCAGGACAGCTTAATTGAGTAGCTCTCTGCCTTTATCGTCCCGGGAAAGTAGCTCTCTGCCTTTATCGTCCCGGGAAAGTAGCTTTCTGCCTTTATTGTCCCGGGAAAGTAGCTCTCTGCCTTTATCGTCCCGGGAAAGTAGCTCTCTGCCTTTATCGTCCCGGGAAAGTAGCTCTCTGCCTTTATCGTCCCGGGAAAGTAGCTCTCTGCCTTTATCGTCCCGGGAAAGTAGCTCTCTGCCTTTATCGTCCCGGGAAAGTAGCTGTCTGCCTTTATCGTCCCGGGAAAGTAGCTGTCTGCCTTTATCGTCCCGGGAAAGTAGCTGTCTGCCTTTATCGTCCCGGGAAAGTAGCTCTCTGCCTTTATCGTCCCGGGAAAGTAGCTCTCTGCCTTTATCGTCCCGAGAAAGTAGCTCTCTGCCTTTATTGTCCCGGGAAAGTAGCTGTCTGCCTTTATCGTCCCGGGAAAGTAGCTGTCTGCCTTTATCGTCCCGGGAAAGTAGCTGTCTGCCTTTATCGTCCCGGGAAAGTAGCTCTCTGCCTTTATCGTCCCGGGAAAGTAGCTGTCTGCCTTTATCGTCCCGGGAAAGTAGCTGTCTGCCTTTATCGTCCCGGGAAAGTAGCTGTCTGCCTTTATCGTCCCGGGAACGTAGCTGTCTGCCTTTATCGTCCCGGGAAAGTAGTCCTCTGCCTTTATCGTCCCGGGAAAGTAGCTGTCTGCCTTTATCGTCCCGGGAAAGTAGCTCTCTGCCTTTATCGTCCCGGGAAAGTAGCTCTCTGCCTTTATCGTCCCGGGAAAGTAGTCCTCTGCCTTTATCGTCCCGGGAAAGTAGCTCTCTGCCTTTATCGTCCCGGGAAAGTAGTCCTCTGCCTTTATCGTCCCGGGAAAGTAGTCCTCTGCCTTTATCGTCCCGGGAAAGTAGCTGTCTGCCTTTATCGTCCCGGGAAAGTAGCTCTCTGCCTTTATCGTCCCGGGAAAGTAGTCCTCTGCCTTTATCGTCCCGGGAAAGTAGCTCTCTGCCTTTATCGTCCCGGGAAAGTAGTCCTCTGCCTTTATCGTCCCGGGAAAGTAGCTGTCTGCCTTTATCGTCCCGAGAAAGTAGCTCTCTGCCTTTATCGTCCCGGGAAAGTAGTCCTCTGCCTTTATCGTCCCGGGAAAGTAGCTGTCTGCCTTTATCGTCCCGGGAAAGTAGCTCTCTGCCTTTATCGTCCCAGGAAAGTAGCTCTCTGCCTTTATCATCCCGGGAAAGTAGTCCTCTGCCTTTATCGTCCCGGGAAAGTAGCTGTCTGCCTTTATCGTCCCGGGAAAGTAGCTCTCTGCCTTTATCGTCCCGGGAAAGTAGCTCTCTGCCTTTATCGTCCCGGGAAAGTAGCTCTCTGCCTTTATCGTCCCGGGAAAGTAGCTGTCTGCCTTTATCGTCCCGGGAAAGTAGCTCTCTGCCTTTATCGTCCCGGAAAGTAGCTGTCTGCCTTTATCGTCCCGGGAAAGTAGCTCTCTGCCTTTATCGTCCCGGGAAAGTAGCTGTCTGCCTTTATCGTCCCGGGAAAGTAGCTCTCTGCCTTTATCGTCCCGGGAAAGTAGCTGTCTGCCTTTATCGTCCCGGGAAAGTAGCTCTCTGCCTTTATCGTCCCGGGAAAGTAGCTGTCTGCCTTTATCGTCCCGGGAGAGTAGCTCTCTGCCTTTATCGTCCCGGGAAAGTAGCTCTCTGGATGAAAGAGGTTGGAGACACTTACTCTACAAACAGTACTTATATATAGTGAGTGTAGATGGTTGTCCCATCAGTGTGAAAGGAGAGCCCTGGTGTGGCCCGGGGCCCTCTTCCCTGCTCCAGTCCTCTCAGTCCTTACAGTCCTCACAGACCTCGCAGACCTCACAGACCTCGCAGACCTCACAGACCTCGCAGACCTCGCAGACCTCACAGACCTCGCAGACCTCACAGTCCTCACAGTCCTCACAGTCCTCACAGTCCTCACAGTCCTCACAGACCTCATAGACCTCGCAGACCTCACAGACCTCACAGACCTCACAGACCTCGCAGACCTCGCAGACCTCGCAGACCTCGCAGACCTCACAGACCTCACAGACCTCACAGTCCTCACAGTCCTCGCAGTCCTCGCAGTCCTCACAGTTCTCACAGACCTCACAGACCTCACAGTCCTCACAGTCCTCACAGTCCTCACAGTCCTCACAGACCTCATAGACCTCATAGACCTCACAGACCTCACAGACCTCACAGTTCTCACAGTTCTCACAGTCCTCACAGACCTCACAGACCTCACAGACCTCATAGACCTCACAGACCCCACAGACCCCACAGACCTCATAGACCTCACAGACCTCACAGACCTCACAGACCCCACAGACCCCACAGACCTCACAGACCTCACAGACCTCACAGACGCTCTGACTTTTCTGCCTGTTGAAGCTGATCTAAAGATGTGACATAGATGGATAGACACCAAGCCTGTTCTGAGAGTAATGTTCATATATTCAACATGCCGTGACGATTGTGTGTACTTTCTGCTCTGTCACACACCACTGAATGTCTTGTGCATGTAACCTATGTTATAATTTGTAAATCTCTAATGGGTTAGTTCACAGAAGTCTAAATCCGACTAGGAGCTTGAGGGTGGTATGAATGACACACAGAGAATGAATTTTAAATGCAAAAGGAAAAATGTACTAATGTTTTAAATCAAGGATTCTCAATAGGGGAAAAGTATGAAGTTGAATTCAAAATATATTTTTACCAAGAAAAAAAAAGAACAAAAAGAACAGAAATTATTCAAAAACAAAAATAACAATACTCAAAATAAGTCTTTGATTTCAAAGCTCAATGCTTTCAGTTTTTAATCAGTTTTTAGGAAAGAGTTCAGTTTTTAATCCATTGTTGGTTTTTAATCTGAGTGAATAGTTTTAATCCGTTGTAGAATTCGGGCAAAAATAGGTTTTTAAAGTTTTAATCCATAGTCCAAAGGATTTCGGAAAGGAAAAAAATACCAAAGGCTATCCTACCAGCTCGCCATCAGGTCAGTCAGTTCATGGGATAGTCAATGAAGTGTCCATGATCAGTCCATGGGATGACCAAAAAACCTGACCTGAAAACGAGGTCATAATCAAATTCAGTTTCAGTTTCCGGTAACATGTCAAAACACAAAGCAGTACCAATAAACTCCACCTAAATCACATCTTTCAAATTGTACAATCAATAGTTCAAAAACAAATAGCTATAGCTCATCAAACTAACAGCTGTGCTAGCATGGGCTTTAACCAGTCATTCATAAACGATAGGGGAATTACATCATGAGTGTTATATGCAGTTTTTCCAATGTGGTTTTACTGCACATGGCCAATAAACTGAATCTTGATATATTTTCATTTTAGCACCTGTATAAGAACATATTTTAACAGTGCATCTTGATGTTTTGGTTTGTTGCTCTCCAATTAATTAAAAAGGACTGATTATTATCGACTGTAATGTTTTAAAGGCCTAATGCAGCATTAGCTTCTTCAGTGAAGCGTTGCCAGGTTGACTAATATCCTCATTACTGCTCTTTCTACCTGGCGAGCGCAGACTGGAGAGGCTGAACCGGAGCCAAGCTGTCAAACTAAAACCATTTACAAAAAGTCAACACATTTTTACACCTCGTCTGTTTTGTTCTCCTTCTGGCTGCGTATTCAAACCAGCAACGATTTCTCTGCTTGTTCAGTTGGCACCAGGTGAAATGATGTGATCAAAGCAAATGAGGAGGTGGTGCTTTCTGCTGACCACAGGAGAGAGCAGGGCAGGTCAGGAGGCTTTTGTTTGCACTGGTCCAGGGTCGTGTGGCTTTTCTCTGAGTGATGGAGGTTACTGGAAACACAACATGCAAACTGGACTTTTCACTGAGTCTTTCACACATTCAGTTGGTTTTAGAGCAATTCATGGATGAGTGGGAAAGGACTGAGGTCTGGGAGAGAGACCAGAGAGAGGGAGAGAGACCAGAGAGGGGGAGAGAGACCAGAGAGAGGGAGTGAGAGACCAGAGAGAGGGAGTGAGAGACCAGAGAGAGGGAGACCAGAGAGAGGGAGTGACCAGAGAGAGGGGGAGAGACCAGAGAGAGGGGGAGAGACCAAAGAGAGGGAGTGAGAGACCAGAGAGAGTGAGACCAGAGAGAGGGAGAGACCAGAGAGAGGGAGTGAGAGACCAGAGAGAGGGAGTGAGAGACCAGAGAGAGGGAGTGAGAGACCAGAGAGAGGGAAAGACCAGAGAGAGGGAGAGAGAGACCAGAGAGAGGGGGAGAGACCAGAGAGAGGGGGAGAGACCAAAGAGAGGGAGTGAGAGACCAGAGAGAGTGAGACCAGAGAGAGGGAGAGACCAGAGAGAGGGAGTGAGAGACCAGAGAGAGGGAGAGACCAGAGAGAGGGAAAGACCAGAGAGAGGGAGAGACCAGAGAGAGGGAAAGACCAGAGAGAGGGAGAGACCAGAGAGAGAGAGACCAGAGAGAGGGAGTGAGAGACCAGAGAGGGAGAGAGAGACAAGAGAGAGGGAGAGACCAGAGAGGGAGAGAGAGAGAGACGAGAGAGAGTGTGAGAGACAAGAGAGAGGGAGAGACCAGAGAGAGGGAGTGAGAGACCAGAGAGAGACGAGAGAGAGTGTGAGAGACAAGAGAGAGGGAGAGACCAGAGAGAGAGTGAGAGACCAGAGAGAGAAACCATGTAGAGAGAATAGAGAGAGGGAGAGACCAGAGACAGATCGGGGAGAGGGACCAGAGAGAGACATTTTCACCATTTCAAGTGATCTTCTCTTGAATCTTCTCTTTTGTCCCATATTTGTCTCAGTGGAGGATCTGGTGCAACACTTCTTTAGAGTTGATGTAAATTTTGCAAAAGATGAAAAAATAATGCTTTTGCTGACGACAAAGACAAGAGAGAAACCAGAGAGAGAGACCAGTGAGAGATCAGAGAGAGGCCAGAGAATGATCGGAGAGAGAGAAAGAGCATTGAGAGAGAGACCAGAGAAAGAGAGACCAAAGTCAGACCAGAGAGAGACCAGAGAAATCAGATATTAGAGAGACTTGACAGACCAGAGAAAAGCCAGAGAGACCAGAGAGAGACCAGGGATGGAGTGGCCAGAGAGAGAGAGAGAGAGAGAGACCAGGGAGAGAAAGACCAGAAAGAGTGGCCAGAGAGAGAGAGAGAGACTAGGGAGAGTGGCCAGAGAGAGAGAGAGAGACCAGAGAGAGTGGCCAGAGAGAGAGAGAGAGACTAGGGAGAGTGGCCAGAGAGAGAGAGAGAGACCAGAGAGAGTGGCCAGAGAGAGAGAGAGACCAGAGAGAGTGGCCAGAGAGAGAGAGACCAGAGAGACCAGGGAGAGTGGCCAGAGAGAGAGAGAGAGACCAGAGAGAGTGGCCAGAGAGAGAGAGAGACCGGAGAGAGTGGTCAGAGAGAGAGAGACCAGCAACAGATCTGAAATAGAGACAATTTCACAAATTGTGATTTTTGCTTATGTTTACTCCCATATTTTTTGGCAAAGTACTTTGTACTTTCGGCAGCGTTAGCGATGAACGAACTGTGACCATAAAAACGACGGTGTCGAACAAAGACATTCGCTTCTCGCATAAAACCTCTTTGTGTGACTTTATAAAACCCTGTGAAAGCTCCAAAGAGGACGAGTGGTCACAACAGTACATTTAGCCTTTCAGCGGCCCTTGAAACGGGCTCCAGGTTTGATGAGGTGGTTGCCTGGCGACCAGCTTTGCCTTGTGTAAGAACAGTTGATTTAGGCCCATGCCACGTGCTCCGTCGTCCAGGACAGAAGCGTCTGAAGAGTCCTGGGGAAAACCAAACATTTGATAAGTATTAGGGAAGACTCCATGTATTATGCTAAATGGTCTTTTTCAGATTCAGATTACGATTCAGTTTATTTGCCATTTGCAGTAAAAAAAACACATTGGAATACATTAGCAAAAGTCCCCAGTGTGCACAGACAAATACAGACATAAAACAACATTAAAAGTACGGAAATAAAACAAATAAAACAGTATCACTGTGACACTTTTTTACAATTTTGAGCCATCCTTTTATTGCCATGTGAGTGACAAGAAATCACAAACCAGGAAATGGCTTTGGCTCAGCGCAAACAAGTTAAAGCAGGATAAAAACAAAAAGAGTGAGGGAAGAATGGAGCGTGAGATTGACAGGCGGATCGGTGCAGCGTGCGCAGTGATGCGGTCGCTGTATCGGACCGTTGTGGTAAAGAGGGAGCTGAGCCGAAAGGCAAAGCTCTTGATTTACCGGTCAATCTTCGTTCCCTCCCTCACCTATGGTCATGAGCTGTGGGTAATGACCGAAGGAACGAGATCGCGGATACAAGCGGTCGAAATGAGCTTCCTCCGCAGAGTGGCTGGGCGCTCCCTTAGAGATAGGGTGAGGAGCTCGGTCACACGGGAGGAGCTCGGAGTAGAGCCGCTGCTTCTCCACGTCGAGAGGAACCAGTTGAGGTGGCTCGGGCATCTGTTCCGGATGCCTCCTGGACGCCTCCCTGGGGAGGTGTTCCGGGCACGTCCCACCGGGAGGAGGCCCCGGGGAAGACCCAGGACACGCTGGAGAGACTATGGCTGTGTCCAAAACGCTAGGCATCAGGCCGCGTAGGGTGGATATGTAGGCTCGTGACGTCACTTCCGCAAGCGACGGCTATTGCAGGGGTGTCCAAAACCACTTGGCGAGCTCGCCAAGCGTAGGCATCATGACTTCGTCTCTATGGAAACGGCCACTTTTGAAGCAGATATGAAGGATGCATTTGATGTATGCTTCGCTGCCTTCCCCGCGTTGAGTTCGCGGGGTTCGATTCGCGGGGTTCGATTCGCGGGGCTTATTTTCACTATGGAGGCACCAGCAGCAGCTCCCCCTGTCCCCACTGTAGTTAAATGTAAGTATATTTCATGTTATAATATTCTTACATGACTAATAACACTTATAAAGAAATATTATTTGAATTTTAAGCAACGAATTGCGCTATTTCATTTGTTTTAGAGTGTTTTCTTCTGTGGCTTATGATAGCTTAGTTGTAACTGTAACTAAATTAGCATTGTCACAGTTAGTTATATTTTATTCCTTTATGTAGTTTTAACGTTTTATTTTGTTCATAGGGACGAAGGAGATGACGGAGACCTTCATAAGGGTGCGGGCGGAGAACGACGTCCTCTTCACTGGGGCGAAGTTCTCCGCCAGCACGGCCTGGAGGTACGAGCTGTTTGAGAAATGTCACTGTTTAGCTTATGATTAATTTAAGTTATCTGGAATTGACTTTAGGACTGCATATTTTGTTCTTAATGTGAGTTTAATACTTAATATATACATGGGTATACAAGGGTTTAGAAAAGCTGGTGCTATTCTCAAATACAACAGTCATCATTATGAAAAATCTATAATTAAGTTGTAGAAGAGTATATCAATCATAACAAAAGAACAAAAATGAGAAACGTATAACTATTGTTTTCTGCATTAACATGATCAATAATGTCAAGAATTCTCTAACACATAAAGTAAGTTTTTCTGTTTCTTCATTTTATTGTTTCTGTCTTTTCTATAGGACTGTCCTGGAGAAGCTTGACCTGCAGGAGGTGGTCACGCCCCTGCAGGCCCGTAAGAAGTGGGACAACTTGAAAAAAAAGTATAAAGTATGACAATCAATCTTGTTTTTGTGAGTTTGTCACGTGTGTGTGCGTGTGTGAGTGTGTCTGCGTGTGTGTGAGTGTGTCTGCATGTGTGTGAGTGTGTCTGCATGTGTGTGAGTGTGTCTGCATGTGTGTGAGTGTGTCTGCATGTGTGTGAGTGTGTCTGCCTGTGTGTCTGCATGTGTGTGAGTGTGTCTGCATGTGTGTCTGCATGTGTGTGAGTGTGTCTGCGTGTGTGTGAGTGTGTCTGCATGTGTGTGAGTGTGTCTGCATGTGTGTGAGTGTGTCTGCATGTGTGTGAGTGTGTCTGCATGTGTGTGTGTGTGTCTGCCTGTGCCGACATGAGCCCATCATGACTCCACATATATTTCTTGTGTTAAAGGACTGTAAATGCCCTGGAACAGGCCAGGGCGTGGAGGGGAACCCCACTGCTGGGACTTGGCCCTGGTTTGGCATCATGGATGAGGTGTTGGGGCAGAAGCCGTCCATCAACCCTCCTGTCCTAATCGCCTCCATCCCTGATGCCAGACCAGGGCCAAGCCAGGCCAGAGAGCAGGAGCCGGAGCAGGAGGAGGAAGAGCCAGAGGCGGAGCAGCAGAGAGGAACGGGAAGGAAGAGGAAGAGGGAGAGCGAGCTGGTGAAGCTGTACAGGGAGGATCTGAGGATGCAGAGGGAGGAGGATGAGCGGCGGGCACAGGAGAGGAGTGCCAATTTTGACAGGCTGTTTTGCCTCCTCGAAAAGATGATTGAAAATAAAAACAAATAAAAATAAACTATTTTTGTTTGATTTACATTTCGAAAAAGCCCATAAAAGTATAACATACATTTGAAATGATGGATAGATCAAGGTCTCAAGGTCTTCACATTAATAGATTAAGCCGTAAGTAAGTTAAATAAATTAATATCTATTTACTTTGGGACTTTCTCAGAGTGAATTTGGTGGGGCCATATCTAAGGCTTCCAACCTGAGAACATTTGGCAAACCACAGCTCTGATGTGTTGGTTATTTTAAAAACAAATGTGTGTTTGTCTACCCAACAGTGGCTTTACATTTCCCCTTGAAGGTGTGTATGATTGGTTAATTTCTATATTTTGTATATACACAGATTTTATACACTTGTTTGATGGGACAAAAACCCCCTGGTAAATGTGTGAAGCAGTTCGAGAGCTCAAGTATTATTTTGTGGAATCAAAAATATAGCACAAGAAAATCAATGGAACCATTTATTCAACATACAATAAAATAAAACTATTAACAAGCAATACAGGATAAACCTGAGAGTGCCAGTGCTGTGTGGCTAAGCAGGGACTCGTTTGGAGTGTTGCTGAATCCCATTCTCCAGGACCAGCAACATGGAAGGGTGCAGAGATCAGGGTCCTGGTCTTCCTCTTCTGGCGAGTGAGGCATCATACCGGGGGTGTCCACTTCATCGTCCATTTGTTGGGTTTGCACGGCTGGCTGGGGCAATAGATGGCTGCCATGTCCTATAAAAAGATGGTATAAAAAGATTCACATTTGTTTAAAAAATAAAACATTTTATACACACAAGTGAATGGATGTGTGACAAAGTGACTTGTCTGTGGATTTGTTTGGACAACTTCACACATATTTACATAAGTAATTAATTGTTTAAATACCTAAAGGTACTCATGGTCCATTTGCACCTCCTCCAGGGCAGACATCTCAGCAGACAGACGGTCTCTCCACTGCGCTGCTGAGACGGTGTCCTCCTCCCCCTCATCCTCCTCTGGGCTGTCCTCTGGGCTGTCCTCTGGGGCCACAACATCTCCAACCCCAAGGCAGATGTTGTGAAGGACAGCACAAGCGGCGATGACCTGAAAAAGCTGCAGTATTAATTACATGGATAAAGACTATTATAGATATTATGATAAATACTGTATTTTTGAAGTGAATTACAGGAAGTTGAAAATGTTTGAAAGTTTGCAAACATGGTTATCACTTACATTTGGTGCAAAGGTGTGGTGCACCTCCAGGGTGTGAAAGAAGATGGCCCGGAACCTCGTCTTCATCATTCCAAAGGCACGCTCAATAATGGAGCGTGCCCTGGAATGATGAGCGTTGAAGCGCCGGGCCGCCACACCCTGCACCGGCCGCTTGTAGGGAGTGATGAGGGGGAGAGGACGCTGGAGGCAGGGATACCCTCCATCCGCCAAGAGGAAGTGCCCTGGAGGAGGATACAGCCCTCTGAGGTACAGAGGGCTGTAGCGGAGGACCCTGGAGTCGT